ATGTATGACGGCATTTTTTTTAACTTTCTGAAATGTGCCACTTACGGGAGTTAATTCCTCCCGTGTTCCCTGTCTTCGTCATTGCCCGCCCCAATCTCCTGGTGACATGGACTGGAATCCTTGACACCTGCCCCTGGTCGCTTACTCTCCAAACAGACCGGCGTCCCAGTCTTTGGTTGTATCTCCCAGGCTCTTTTGTAACTTCTGTTTCCCCTCTCCGGAATGTTACAACCTGATCCTTGAAACCAACCCAATCTGCAAGGCTGTTAGATACCCCAAGGAAAGTCTCTGTCATTTCACTCCCCACCCACAGCGGGTGCTGCTCCACTGCCCGGCAGTCATGGAAAGGAACCAGCTCGAGTCTGATCTGTAAGGCGCCCTGAAAGCTGATGTCACCTTACCGTCCCGGATCGCTCTGCTGGTCCCCCTCTCCAGCCACTGTGCTAACGCGCAGTTCTCTGCCTCCCTTCCAAGCATGGCGCTGTCTGACCAGCCTCTGCCCTGTCCCCTGCCCACGTCCAGGCCCAAGCATTGCTTAAGCCCAGGTGGACGCTCCACTGTGCTGATCCTCTTGGCTGAAATTCATTCTCTCCGCTCTAAATTCCTAACACATTCAAGTTGTGTCTCTTTTACGGCACCTCTCACTTTCCATTTTCTGACATGATTGTTAGGAACATTTCTGTGGGCTCATTTTAGCACAGCGCCGGCCCCACTATACTTAGCTGGGAGGAGTATTAGTCTCTAACTCCAAGAACCCAAGTCAGCTAGGACAAAGGAGGTTATGGCACACCTGCTGGCTGCCGCATATCGCTGTACACAGGTTCATGTGCAACGCTATTTCTCCATATGGACGGGTTTCTCACTAGAATCGCGTGAAGAACTATTTAAAAGTACATTTCCCGGGGTCAGCATTCCCCATCGCTGGTTAAGCCTCCTGCAACCCTTGCATCCCACATGGGTGCTGGTTCAAGTCCTGGCCGACCCACTTCCAATGTAGCTTCCTGCTAATGTGCCTGGGAAAGCAGCAGAGGATGGACCAAGTGCTTGGGCCCCTGCACCCCCATGGGAGACTCGGATGAAGCTCCTGGCTCCTGGCTTTGGCTTGGCCTAGCCCTGGCCATTGTGTCCATTTGAGGAGTGAACCAGCAGATGGAAGAACTCTCTCTCTCTATATGTCTCCCTCTCTCTGTAACTCTGCCTTTCAAATACATAAATAAATCTTTAAAAATAATAAATGCATTAAAGTACAAACCCAAGAATCTTTGGATGGACTTTAAGGGAAATACCAGACATCCGTTGTGTGCAGTGTGGGATGCTGCTAATGTGAAAAACAACAGAACAGCGGATCCTTGCGGATGGACTTTTATTGGACAGAATACGTGTTTGCCCAGTCTGGGAGGGCATTTAGAACGCATTTACTCAGAGGCAGCTGGCTGTGTAGACCGTCCCGTGCAGTAGTATCTTGTCACCGTTCTTTGGAATGGGAGCTTCCATTTCGTTACAAGAACACAGGGAGGTGTGGGGCCATGGAGGAGAGAGGATAAATGTGGACGCTGACGGCAGCGTGGCCCTACTCTCTTCCGTGGCTTTTGAGACCCTAATGCAGAGATGCGGATAGAGGCCGGGGTCAGCCTCACAGTGCCGAATCAGACCACCCACGCCTGCATTCTGGCCGCTCCTGGCTGTTGGACCTTGGGTGTGGTGCTCAGCCTCTTGGCCTCGGCTGTCTCATCTATAAAATGAAAATAATGGCTGGCGCCGCGGCTCACCAGGCTAATCCTCCGCCTTGCGGCGCCGGCACACCTGGTTCTAGTCCCGGTTGGGGTGCCAGGATTCTGTCCCGGTTGCCCCTCTTCCAGGCCAGCTCTCTGCTGTGGCCCGGGAGGGCAGTGGAGGATGGCCCAAGTGCTTGGGCTCTGCATCCCATGGGAGACCAGGAGAAGCACCTGGCTCCTGCCGTCGGATTAGCGTGTTGCGCCGGCCGTAGCGCGCTGGCTGCAGCGGCCATTGGAGGGTGAACCAATGGCAAAGGAAGACCTTTCTCTCTGTCTCTCTCTTTCACTGTCCACTCTGCCTGTCAAAAAAAAAAAAAAAAAAAAAAAAAAAAGAAAGAAAATAATGACAGTACCTACGTTATGTCGCTGTGGAGACATGTGACTCAGTCAATGTCAGTTACTAAAGTACAAATAGGTTCCTGGATGCATTTTCTTAAGTTCACACAAAATAAGCTTAGTGAGTGTAGCTGTGGGTGGAGAAGAGAGACTGATAACTACATGATTTTTTTAAAGATTTATTTATTATTTTTAAGATTTATTTATTTTATTTATTATTTATTTTTTAAAGATTTATTTATTTATTTATTTGAAAGTCAGAGTTACACAGAGAGGAGAGGCAGAGAGAGAGAGAGAGATCTTCCATCCGCTGGTTCACTCCCCAATTGGCTGCAAAGGCCGGCGCTGCACCGATCTGAAGCCAGGAGCCAGGAGCTTCTTCCGGGTCTCCCACGTGGGTGCAGGGGCCCAAGGACTTGGGCCATCTTCTACTGCTTTCCCAGGCCACAGCAGAGAGCTGGATGGGAAGAGGAGCAGCTGGGTCTCGAACCAGCGCCCATATGAGATGCCGGCGCTTCAGGCCAGGGCGTTAATCTGCTGTGCCGCAGCCCCAGCCCCTAACTACGTGACTTTGATTGGTAAGCCTCGTAGGAATTCAGAGATGCAGGAGAAAGGTCCTTTCGGAGGATTTAAGATGAAGTCTAAATTGTTCCTCGTCCGCAAAGCCCCTGCGTCGTCCGGGCTCTGCCTGCATCTCCATCGTCATCCCCTCTCTCTCCCTGACTTAGCCCTCGTCCTACAATTCTTCAATGATTGAGGCAATTCATTAGCACTTGCTGTTCCCTCTGTGTGAAAGTCTCTTCCCAGATCTTGTAAGCCCGGCTTTGTCTTATGCTCCGAGTCTCATCAACACAGTTTCTCAGAGATGCCTGTTCTGAGCGCTCGGTTAACTCGTGGCCAGATCTCCATGGTCGGATCACGTACGGATGTTCCTTTAGTTAGGGTGGCATTACCAACTGAAAGCATTGTAAGTAGAAAATGCATCTTTGCGTGGGCACTTGCTGGTTAGACACCTGCGCTCCCTACCAAGTGCCTGGATTTGAGTCCCGGCTCTGCCAGTGCACACCCTGGAGGCAGCAGACAGTGGCTCAAGTACTTGGGTCCCCGCCACCCATGTGGGAGACCTGGATTGAGTTCCCAGTTTCTGGCTTCAGTCCTACCCCAGTCCCAGCCATCGCAGGCATTTGGGGAGCGTACCAGAGGATGGGAGCGTCCTCTGTCTGCCCATCTTTCTTCTTCTCCATCTCTTTCTCTGTCTCTCAAGTTAAAAAAAAAAGTATTTAGTGGGTGGCGGTGTTGTGGCACAGTGGGTTAAGCTGCCACCTTCAATGCCGGCATCCATATGGGCACTGGTTCTACTCCTGGCTGCTCCACTTCCGATCCAGCTCCCTGCTAATGCACCTGAGAAAGCACCAGAGGATGGCCCAGGTTCTTAAGCTCTGCCACCCACGTGGGAGACCCAGGAGGAGTTCCAGCCTCCTGGCTTTGGTCCGGCTTAGCCCTGGCCATTGCAGCTATTTGGGGGAATGAACCGGTGGATGGAAGAACTCTCTCTCTAACTCTGCCTTTCAGATAAATACATAAATCTTAAATTAAAAATGCATTTGACCCAGTGCACCTAATCTACCAGACATAACATCCTGGCCTACCTTTAACCTGCTCACTTAGGTGAGCTCACAGCTGAGCAAAATATTTCACACAAAGCCTATTTTATTTATTTATTTATTTTTAAAAGATGTATATTTATTTATTTGAAAGTCAGAGTTACACAGAGAGAGGAGAGGCAGAGAGAGAGAGAGGGAGACAGAGAGAGAGAGGTCTTCCATCTGCTGGTTCACTCCCCAGATGGCTGCAAAGGCTGGAGCTGTGCTGATCTGAAGCCAGGAGCTTCTTCCGGGTCTCCCACATGGGTGCAGGGGCCCAAGGACCTGGGCCATCTTCCATTGCTTTCTCGGGCCACAGCAGAGAGCTGGATGGGAAGTGGAGCAGCCGGGACTAGAACCTGCGTCCATGTGGGGATGCGGCACTTCAGGCCAAGGCTTTAACCTGCTGCGCCACAGCGTGAACCCCACAAAGCCTATTTTTTTTTTTTTGACAGAGTGGACAGTGAAAGAGAGAGACAGAAAGAAAGGTCTTCCTTTGCCGTTGGTTCACCCTCCAATGGCCGCCGTGGCTGATCCGAAGGCAGGAGCCAGGTGCTTCTCCTGGTGCAAGCACTTGGGCCATCCTCCACTGCACTCCTGGGCCACAGCAGAGAGCTGGCCTGGAAGAGGGGCAACCGGGACAGAATCCGGCGCCCCGACCGGGACTAGAACCCGGTGTGCCGGCGCCGCGGCTCACTAGGCTAATCCTCTGCCTGCGGCACCGGCCCACAAAGCCTATTTTATAATACAGTGTTGTCTATCTCATATATTAAGACGATAAAACGTCAAAGTACGATTTTGTGTACTGGTTTCACACCACAGCGAAGTGGAAACACCCGTTGAAAGGTCTGTAATTTCTTGTCGCTTATCAGTCCTGAAATCGTTACCACTTGCGCCTGCTGTTCATTGTCTGTTCTCTTGGAAGGAACACCTAGGGCTTTGCTACTTTGGTTGGTGTATACGTGGTTACACCCCAGCACCTGGATCAGGGCTCCTTGCAAAAAACTGCAGGAATGAATGAATATTTGGAAGGTGGGAGATGCGGGGAGGTGATAGGTCAAAGTCTCCCAGCTCTTGGGTGAAAGCCAGAATTCCAAGAGCTAACCTTAAACAAACAGGAAGGTGGGGGTGAAGACAGCGCAAGGACTGGGGCTGGAGGGGGCGGGGCGGACGGAAGCCCGGCGAGGGCGGAGGGGCGTGGCTGGGGGCGTGACTGGGGCGTGGCGAGGGCGGAGGGCGTGGCGTGTGAGGCGGCCGGAAGCGGGGCAGGAGGCCGGAGCAGTGACGGCCCCAGCAGCGGCGGAGTTAGAGACGCGCTGGCTGTGGCTGCCACGGCGGGGGTCCTGGGCGATGGAGAACGGAGCGGTGTACAGCCCCACCACGGAGGAGGACCCGGGCCCTGCCCGGGGCCCCCGCAGCGGCCTGGCCGCCTACTGCTTCCTGGGCCGGCTCCAGTGGCATCGGCGCGCCCTCAAGGGCTTGCAGCTGGTGAGTCGGCGGCCGCGGGCGGCTTCCTCCCGCGTCGGAGCGCAGCTGGGCCGGGCCGCCGAGCCCGTGGGGGCAGGAGCGGGCGCCTGGGCCGGGGACGCCGGGCCCGTGGGGGCAGGAGCGGGCGCCTGGGCCGGGGCCGCCGAGCCCGTGGGGGCAGGAGCGGGCGCCTGGGCCGGGCCGCCGAGCCCGTGGGGGCAGGAGCGGGCGCCTGGGCCGGGCTGCGAGCCCGTGGGGGCAGGAGCGGGCGCCTGGGCCGGGCCGCCGAGCCCGTGGGGGCAGGAGCGGGCGCCTGGGCCGGGGATGCCGAGCCCGAGGGGGCAGGGGCGGGCGCCTGGGCCGGGCTGCGAGCCCGTGGGGGCAGGAGCGGGCGCCTGGGCCGGGCTGCGAGCCCGTGGGGGCAGGAGCGGGCGCCTGGGCCGGGGCCGCCGAGCCCGTGGGGGCAGGAGCGGGCGCCTGGGCCGGGGCCGCCGAGCCCGTGGGGGCAGGAGCGGGCGCCTGGGCCGGGGACGCCGGGCCCGTGGGGGCAGGAGCGGGCGCCTCGGCCCCCTCCTGGCGAGGTCCCAGGCCGGGGGCTCTGTGCGGACTGCGTAGGCCTGCGCTTCTCTCCCGTGGCTCTCGTGGTCTTCCTCGCGCGGCCCACGGAGCTCAGCCCGGGTGGACCACGCACGGCTTGGTCCTGTCCCTTCCTGGTGAGCCCTCGACGGGTGCGCGGTGGACAGTGTGTGCGCGCGCGCGAGTGTGTGCAGGTGCGTGTGTGCGCGCGAGTGTGTGCGCGTGTGCAGGCGCAAAAACGGGGACGCGGAGCGCGGCTCTTTCCCTCTTTCCGTTCCGTGGAGCGAGTGTTTTCGCGTCTCTGAGATGTAAGCACACTTCGGCTTGGCACTCGCGTGGGTTTCCTGTGCAGTTTCAGCCAGTGGGGAGCGGCGTTTTCAGCCCGGAATAATCAGAGCTTAGGATGTTTTTCTGGGGGGGGGTAGGGGGGTGGGTTTTTCTTTTCTTTTTTTTTTAAAATCCTCCCGAATAAAAATAGCTCACCGGTTTCCTTGGAAAGAGCTCAAGTTCTTCCCAGGTAGAGGAGCAGAACCGAAATTCTTAGAACTCAGCTGGCCTGGTTGGATTGGATAGGACAACAGCAGCCTGGAAGGGGCACCGCCTTCCCCGCCCGCATCTTCAGGCCTGGGGAGAAGGCTCCCGGGAGAGCGTGCGTGCCCGGCAGCCTCACCCCTGGGGAGGCACACACCTGCGGGAGGCACACCCCCGTGGGGGGGGTGGCTCCTCTGCTCTGCCTTCGTCTGGAAGTCTTCCTGGTGCTCTTCCTCCTCTCAGCTGCCACGCGGTTGTCACACAGGAGCTGTGTACCCTGCACTGTCACACGGGAGCTGTACGTACGCCCTACTGCCGTATGCCCTACTGTTTCTACACGGATAGTCCAGCTCTCTGTACCAGAAGCCAACTCTCATCTGAAGCATTCTCACTGTGCAAAACACATCATCTAGGTCTCCCATTTTCCTCTCTAATCAGAAGTGACAGAGAGAAAGGTCTTCTTTCCGTTGGTTCATCCCCCAAATAGCCGCTACGGCCAGCGCTGTGCCCATCCGAAGCCAGGAGCCAGGTGCTTCTTCCTGGTCTCCCATGCGGGTGCAGGGCCCAAGCACTTGGGCCATCCTCCACTGCCTTCCCCGGGCCACAGCAGAGAGCTGGCCTGGAAGAGGAGCAACCGGGACTAGAACCCGGCACCCATATGGGATGCTGGCGCTGCAGGCGGAGGATTAACCAAGTGAGCCACGGCGCCGGCCCTTCGTGGGCTCTTTATTTGGAGGTGCAGCAGCAGGTGAATTTGCTTTGACAAAGTTGTTTGTTCTCCGTTGTCCTTAAGGGGGATGGGAAAGAATAAAAACTGTGTGAAACTCATTTATTAATGGAGAACTTACCACGTTACCGCGTGCCGATACGGAGTTGAAAAAGTGTTTTTTCATTATCGCCTTTCACTTTGATGGTTGCCTTTCTGCTTCCGTTTTGTCCACGTGATACGTCTTCACAATAACAAGATGTTACGACGTTACCTGGAAGGCCCCAAGGAAGTTCTGTATGAAGTCGGGAACAGCTGTCATGCAGCCGGGGCGGTGGACAAGGTCTCCTCTGCCTTCAGGTTGTTTACTTTTGGTGATTTATTGGAAAAAAAAAACAACACGTTGCAGAGCTGCACTAAGGAGACAGCTTCATGGAGAATGCCCTCAGGGGGGGGGGGGGCGGGTACAGCATTTTAACGAGGGACCCTCCAGCCCTGCAGTGTTATTCCAGATGTTGGACATCTGTGCATTATTCTGGACTCATAAGTCTTTTTAAAAAAAAAGATTTATTTATTTGAAAGAGTTACACAGAGAGAGGAGAGGCAGAGAGGTCTTCCATCCAATGGCTCACTCTCCAATTGGCCGCAACGGCCAGAGCTGCGCCGGTCCGAAGCCAGGAGTCAGGAGCTTCCTCTGGGTCTCCCACGCTGGTGCAGGGGCCCAAGGACTTGGTCCATCTTCCACTGCTTTCCCAGGCCATAGCAGAGAGCTGGATCGGAAGTGGAACAGCCGTGTCTCGAACCAGCGTCCATAAGGGATGCTGGCACTTCAGGCCAGGGCATTAACCCACTGCGCCACAGCGCTGGCCCCAGGATTCGCAAATCTTTTTCGATTCCGAAAGATTCAGGAGGGGAGGGACGCCTGTTCTAAAATTTAACAAACAGGCACGGTGCACTGAGCCTGCAGAGGTTGGGTGGACAGATCGCCAAGGCTGCTTGGACCTGCTGTGGAGAGCTGAGCACTCAGGGCAGGGGTTAGAGACGGCAGAGCCTGGCTTCTCACTCCCGGAGTCCGGAGCTGCGTCTTCTCTCCATTCGGCCGGAAGTTAGCCAGATGCGCCCCCCCCCCCCCCCAAGCTCGGCGCCGCCGTCTGCCAGCTCCCGTTCCAGAGCTGAGGAGACACTACTGAGAGGCCAGGGTCAGGGCTTACTGCGGCCTGCATGTACGTCATTAGTCGTGTCGTTTATTCTATCGCTGGATTTTTTCCTTATGTTCATGCTTTGTTTTGCGAGGGTGTTTTTTTTTTGTTTGTTTGTTTTTGGTTTGTGTATTTTAAAAGGAGAGCTGACATTGGCGCCCTGATTGCTTGCTCACCCGCGGGTGCTGACCTGACTGTGGGTGATTCTCTCTGCGCCCCCCCTCGTGTCCGATGGCTGCGCAGCACCGGGACAGCAGTCACCGCGTGTTGGAGAATTCACCAGCGATCGCAGTTTATTAAATTCTGAGTAAGGCTCCTCCTCCTCACATTCGTGTTCTCGTTACTTGAATGTGAACATTTCTACCTGATAAACTGCCTGCTGATTTTTACCCTGGGGAAGATCCACAGTGTTAGCAAATGTTATCTTTGAACCCTTGTGATAGTCAATATTTGCCTAAGGCAAGGCCGGGAGGCATTCTTATTTCTTCAGACTGTCAGATTAAAAAAAAAAATTAGACTTTTTTTTTAATTTATTTCAGAATCAGAGTTACAGAGAGAAAGGGAGAGAGAGATATCTTCCATCCACTGGCTCACTCCCCAGATGGCCACAATGGCTAGGGCTGGGCCAGGCCAAAGCGAGGTGCCAGGAGCTCCATCCGGGTCTTCCATGTGAGGCCCAGGCACCTGGGCCGTTAGCAGGGAGCTGGGTCAGAAGTGGAGCAGCCACCGCTATGGGATGCTGGTGTCATAGGTGGCAGCTTTAGCTGCTGCGCCGTGACACCAGCCCCCAGGTTTTTAAATTTGAGTGTTACTTATTACTACAAGGTTTGTAATAGCGAGTTTATTAATTTATAAAGTCACGAAGTTTTGTGGATGGAGCTTTATAGATAATGGCAAACATTAAAGAGTTCTTTTTCTACATTTTTTTATTTTTTAAGATTTTTTATTTATTTTATTTGAAAGGCAGAATTATAGAGAGGCTGAGAAAGAGAGACAGAGACAGAGACATCTTCCATCCACTGGTTCACTCCCCAGATGGCCGCAGCGGCCGGAGCCGCGCTGATCTGAAGCCAGGAACCAGGATGACTTCTGGGTCTCTCAGACACATACAGGGGCCCAAGGACTTGGGCCATCTTCTGCTTTCCCAGGCCACAGCAGAGAGCTGGATTGGAAGAGGAGCAGCCAGAACTTGAACTTGAACCGGTGCCCCATGGGATGCCAGCACTGCAGGTGGTGACTTTACCCATGACGCCACAGCAGCGCTGGCCCCTAAAAAGTTCTTTTTATAAAAATATTTTAAGTAGTAGACTTAAGGATAAATGATGGAGAACCAGTATTTAGTCCAAAGACTTAATATGAAGGAAGACTTGATGTTTTAGGGACGATGAAACTGAAGTGGGGATACAGGATAGTCCTTACCTGAATGTTTGAATATCGGAGCTGTGAGTAGGACCATCTTTGAGTCACTGAGATTTTCCTAAATGTATCGACTGCAGCAAATTGTCTTTAATTTATGATTTAGTGGCAAAAAGGGAAATGTGCAAAGCTAGGGCTGTAACTTCAGAGCCCAATCCTACAGGGAAAACCTACAGAAACGTACCTAATCATAAAACGAAAAACACTTCACTGGAGGACGAATCCAGAGTGGAAGCCAGAGGAGCTTGGTTTTCCTCTGTGCTGGCGGACTTGGAGCTCGGCCTGTTCGAAGCGTCATTCCCTCTGTAAGTGTGGTGGTGGGAGACGGCTCGTCCAGGCCCCCCCTCCCAACTCGAAAAGCTCAGTAGGTCCCTCGACCACGTTGGGGTAAGATCTGTTTGTCGTGAGGAGGAGTTACAGCGGGAATACAGTAATTGGGTACTTGGGGTAGGATTCAGTGAACAGTATTTAGTGCGCTGACTTCGTGTTATTGAGAACTTAACTGTTTCCAAAAAGTAAGACTTGAGCCTCTTCGCTGTGGGTCGTGTTCACCATTAGCGTGTTTTCCTGATGCGGCGTGTGTGCTCTGTCCT